TGAATGGAAGTTATGTATTCTATTGAATGTTACAACTTTAGGGAAAAGATATAAAGGCGTCATACTCCAATCAGTAACTACAGGAGAAATTTTGTTTAATGAGAAAAGATAATAGATAATTGAAACAGAACAGACAAAAAATATAAATACAATTATTTGAATTGAGATGAGATAATTAAAATAAAATTGAGAAAATTAAAAGAGGGATGAAGCTATGCAGAAAATGTAAAATAGTAATAAGATATGGAATAGAATATAAAAATGAGCATGAACCTGAATTTGTGTCTGTATGAAGAAATGTAACCCGGGATTATGCTGCTTTCAAAAAATATGTTTTATTTGTATTTTTTTTTCTCTTTGTGAAAACTCAAATAAAATTTACAAAAAAAAAAAATTTCATTTTCTTGTACATAACATCCATTTCATTTTCTGTGAAGACTGGTGTGTCAAGCTCATTCTTCCTCATCACCTCTAGAAGAGTTGGACAGCAATTCTTATCTACAATGTTTAGGATAATAGGAATTGTAGCCAAAAGCCTTCCAGGGTTTTTGGCTAGAGAAATTCATATAGCTAGGTAGACTCACGTGGACTTCGGTATTTTAAAAGAATCTGATGGCTCTGATTTTGTATTTGGACTTCAGTGGTTAACCAAGGCATTCTGTTTAAAAGAATACAGGGCCAAGCTTTACAAATTAGATACAGCCTTTGTATCTGCTTAAAAGTAAGTGGACTTTGCAGAGTATGTATACATCTTCAGTTGATTAAATGGAGTGACTGTTGAGTACCAATTTCAACTGATAGCACTATGCATAAAGAAGTACTTGTAATGTACTTTTTAAAAATGTGGTTTAGAAACTGATGTGTTAGTAAAAATTTAAAAATACAATAAAAATAGTAATTCTAATGTTTATTGACAGACATTATCTGCACTTGAGCAAATAAAATTAATCATTTTAACCAATCAACAATTTTTTTAGTAATGTTGCAAGTGGAGCCAAATACACTCCATATGTGAGCACTATTTGAAATTGATGGAAACACTATGATCACCTGCACTACTAGTTTCATCCTGCTTGTAATTCAGATTTCACCTTATTGGATTTTTGTATTAGTTAAATTCCTTAAAAGTTACTATTTCTTAAGAGTTGTATCAAAAGATACACTTTTATATAAGTGATTATATAACTCTTGCTATATCAGGCTCTGAAATACACCTGATGGAAGAAAGATATATCACTGGATGGCTGTTTAAGTTATTTTATCCTCTCAAGCATTTGAGCTATTATTAGTATGCCTTTTTAAAGAAATTATTTTTAACCAGCTTGTATTTTGCCCTTTAGCATTCCAGCATAGAGACAGTGTACAGCTGTTTTAGAATGAAGCTTAAAATCAATTACATGAAACTGCTACACTTCTTTAAATTATTTCCCATGTGAATTATGATGCTGGACAAAATTAGATAATTTATAAAACAGTTACATATTTGTACCTTATAAACTTGAGGGGTCATCTTAATTTTTTAAAATTAAATATTATTAAACTTTAAAAACTAAATTTAATTGGCTTTACTGGCTTTATTGGATAAGATTTCAAGCCAAAGCAGGAAATAAAGTCAGAGTAAAATCAGAACATTTGAAATGTTAAAAAATGGAGCACCCATACAGACTGATTTTTGAAGTTCTGCTAATATCTTAAAAATGAATCCTTGAAAATAATTATGTCAAAAAATAGATTGTTCTAAATGAAATCACATTGTAATAAAATATTTGATACTGAGAAAGATTATTTAGTAGAATACTAGCTGTATAACATTCTAGGTGAGTATAAACATTAATTTGCAATGCAATAGAAATATACAGAAGGAAGATAGAACAGACAAAAAGAGAAATGTTTAAAGTACTGATGATGGCTACTTGCAACTCTTGGTTTATTCTATTATAAACAGTAATTCCAGAAGAAACAAATCAGCCAATCTCATTTAAAAAGGATAACAAAGACAAAGGAAACAGTTTCAACAATTTTTGTTTGTTTCTCTAACTCAAGGTTATTAAAAAAACAAAAACCCTCTTGATTCAGTCTTCCAAGCAATGCAGCATTAAATACAGGGCCTGCCTGCCTCCCTCCCTCCTCAACTGAGTGCATTTGTGAGGCATTTGCTGTACCAGACTATTTAATGCCTAGTTCTCATAATCTTTCCAGTTCCCTCCTTCTGAGCAGTCAGGAAACAGTTGAAAACAGAGCTGCTTGAATATATGAAAAGTATGACGAGACTCCTTTCCTTGTAGTGTTGTTGTATGCTGAATTCTGGATGTTCCTGGTCTAGAGGAAACATAAATGGGTACCTGTCATGCCCTCTACAACATCTCTGTGCAAAAACATTATCAGAATACAGAATACCATAGTTGGATGGGGCTTTGGAGATCTTTTAGCTTCAACCACAATAATACACGGGCAAACAGTCAATAGAAACTCAAAGTAAACCGCTTTAAACTCGGCTGCATAAAATAAGACTTCAGCAACAGAATGGTCAATGCTTGGAATGTTCTACCTGACTACGTTGTTACAGCCTCAAACCATCACAGCTTCAACCTCAAACTGTCTACTGTGGACCTCACCCCGTTCTTAAGAGGTCTTTAAAGGGGCCGCGCATAAGTGCACCAGCGTGCCTATCATCCCTGCCTTACTGTCCGCATTTATCTGCATTTACTTCCTTTGTTCATGTTTATATTCATACTTATACTTGTTGTCTTGTTATCTTGTTAACAACCCTATGCTCAAGCAGGAGATCTTGTACCATTCTGGACAAATAGTTGTGCAATATCATCTTAAAAACCTCCAGAGCACCCACAACTTTTGAAGACAAGCTGTTCTGCTGATTTAATTATTCTTACTGTCAGTAAATTTCTCCTTAGTTCTAGATTGGATCTTTCTTAAGTTTCCATCCATTGTTTCTTGCTTGCTGCCAGGTGCTTTGGTGAATAGGTTGTTCCCCTCTTCTTTGTGGCACAAGGCCAAGTTACTCATGGGTTTCCTCTTCTGAGAGTATCTGCCCATCCTACCAGGTCTGAAGGGTCCAGGTTCCTTTCCTGAATTGAGTGGGACCTTGGAAGAGTGCCCCTTCCCATGGCTGCCCCTATCTTATGGAACACCTTTATCTAGCAACCAGCAATCCTTTTAGCCTTTCAGAAGACCGTTAAAACCTGCTTCTTTGCCCAGGCAATAGGTAAAGGGTGGACTGTTGAGATTTTGGGGGCATTTTGGAGGTTGATTGAGGTGCTGGGTTTTATATGTTTATATAGGTTTCTTAGTTTTATTGCTCTGAGTTCCTCCTCAAGATTGTCCAAAGATGGGCAGCCATACAATTTTTTAAAAAATAAACAATAAATGTAGTGTGGCCTCTGGGATGTCTATGGAAGAAGGAACTTTCCCATCACTTTGAAAAAGAGAGATCATAAGTTACATTTCATGGAGTTGATGTTCTGTAATACAGAACAATTTTAGTCCAATTAAGAAAGTTTGGCAATCTGATCATTGGTGAAAGATACGATAACATTAATTCATTGTGATTATTTAGGAGGAATTTCTCATTGTTCCTTTATCTTGTAGAATACAGTAGTTGAGCAACATTACTGAAAAAGAATAATAGCAATGGTGAATGTATTTAATGCATTCCTGATGTGTAGAGTAGTAAGGAATAAGGAATTTGCCAAATACTCCCCAGGAGGGGAAAAAAATAATTTCATTTAAAAAAATTGCAGTTATATTCATTTGCTAGAGTTTTTGTTCTCTTTTTAATAATTTTTAATATATGAATAACATATCTTGATATAATCCACAAAATTGTATATATATTACAAAGATATATGTTAGAGAAGAGTTTTAAAAATTATTTTAAAAATATTTATATCACTGCCCACTAAGCCCATGATTCTGTGCTGGAACACTGGTAGCACTAGAGCCAAAAAAAATTGTTCTGGTTCCTTGTATACATACAAACGTCTAAGACATTTCATTTGAATTATCTTTTGCAATTGAATTATGTGTTATTATTTCTCTGTGATAAACATATTGTATCTTCACTGCATATTAAAACTCTTTTTATCTACCCAAACATGACCATGCATAAAACACTGTACTGAATAACAACTCAAAGGTTGGAGTTTTTTTAAAAAAAATATTGGTTACAAATGTAGTCATTACAAAACTTGTGCATTGAATGTTGGAATAAGAGTGGCCTTTGTTCTGATATCTTTAAGAAAATGCATTTTCATATTTCATGGACAGTTAGGAATACAAGGTAAAGATTTAAAGATCAGTATATTTACAAGCCTCTACTGACTCAAGATAAGTTATTTTATTTCTTAAAGAATTTAAAAACCAAATCTAAGAACACAGTAGCAAAAAATAATCCAAAAGCTAGAAACTTTGCAAAGGGTTATATTGAAGTATATATAAAATCTTCATCCACTCTCTAAACATTGTCTCTTCCCTGGTGAAATTTACCCCAACTGTTATGGTCTTCCGGAAGGACCTTAAAATTTGTTTTTTTTTTTTTTCAGCAAGCCTGGGAAAATCCTCTGGTGATAAGAAGCCCACATGTTGGTGGTATTATCTCTAATATTCTCCCACTTGTGGTCTTCTTTTTAATTCTATTTCATTGCTTTTAATGGATTTTGCAGTGGGTTTTAATAGTAAGTTTTATTGTACGCTATCTAGAGTCATTTTGTGTGAGATCAACAGCTATGTAAATCTGATAAATGTGTTAAAATCATGTAACAGATCATAGGCATACATGTGTTAGAATAATATAACATTGCTATAAGCATATCTATTTATATAACTTCTGTTGTAGCAGTTTTATTTAAAATTCTCTCAATAATGGTACTTCTTTTCTCTCGATGACAACACTTTGAGTTCTATTCTATGTTGTATGTTGTAAAGCCTGGAATTTCGTCCTGATTTATGCTAATGATTTTTATCTGTCCCTTTTTTTAGATGTTACATCTTGGGACAAGTTGACAGTATCTCTCAGATGAACCTCTGCTTAAAAATATGCCATTTGTACATGCTACTCAGTCTTCTTGAAACATGGGTGAAAAAGACAACGATAAGTACAACCAAGCCAACCAAATATTTGAAAGCTTTGTTCAAGCCTCAACATGCAAAGGTTCGATTCAGGCTTTTAATATTCTCACTCGCCATCTTGAATTAGATCCTTTGGACAACAGGAACTTTTATGCCAAACTTAAATCAAAAGTGACCAGCTGGAAAGCCAAAGCTTTGTGGAATAAGCTAGATAAAAGGGCAAGCCATAAGGAATATAAACGTGGAAAATCTTGTACAAACACAAAGGTAAGGTGAATTTCGTACTTTATTTTGAATCTGACCCTGCTTGAATAAATTAGGTAACCCTCTGGTTTTATAGAAGAAATTTTGGGATACTTCTTTAGGTTTAATAATATTTCTGCATAAACTTCCTCCTATGGATCAAAGTTCAAAAGTCTATTCCTATGCTATGCTATTCATATATACTATATCACGAACTAATGTACATCTGTTTTTTTAGTATTTTAAAGTTGAGCATGATACATACTTGTAAATTTCCAATTACTTTAATCTCTACTGTAAATATAACAAAAAAAATCCACATGTTAATTTTAATATATTAAAATATATGTACTTGCTTCATCTACTCACATTTTGAGGAAGATTATTGTCATATTTAACTTACATTCAAAGTCGATGCATTCAAAGTCAAAAATGCAAAGAGTGCTAGGGATACTTAATAAGAAACCAAAGCAGCTTTTTAGTTTCCATTGTCAGCTTTCATAAGAACCTGTGAGTGAATGATCACTAGTAGGTGGAAGGGAAACATCCTTATTGAAAAACTGAATCCATTTGCATTCAATTAGGTTAAAATTCTCTGTTTCAAATACAGGAAATCAGGAGTGCAGGCAGCTCAAATGAATATAAGGGTTTATTGCAAGCTTAAGCTCTCTACAAGAATCTGAATTACTAACAGTCAAAGCAAATTGGCAATAGATAAGAGTCAACAGAATTCAAATGGGCTGGACTCTTGTGGACATGAAGGGATTTGAGACTTGTGACATGTTTTGACCTCTCCTTTAGGCTCAACCTGGCCATCTACACTGTGCACTTGACATATTAATACACTTAGTCCTCTGTAATGACAGTAATTAGGACCAGCAACTCTGTTGATAAACAAGGGGGTTGTGAAGCACAATGTCACATGATCACATCAACTCATGTAGTTTCAGTTGTAGTTGTTAACTGAATCTTGCAGAGTTTTTTAGCTCAGTATCACAAGATTGACATATGGGTCCTCCTGCCAGCTTCCCATTGACTTTGCTTGTTGGAAGCAGACAATGAAGGTCACAGATGGTGATCATGTGACTGCAAGATGCTGCAACTGTCATAATTGTGAGCCAGTTGCCAAGTGCATGACTGTGGAGATGCTGTGACAGCTTTGAGAACTGACCATAAGTTTCCTCATGCAACACTGTCCTACCTGTGAATTAATTTATGAACTGAGGACTACCTGTAGCACTGATGTGAATGAGATAATTTGAGTTACATGTTGAATATATGGAATATGTGCAACTTTTTAAAAATGTGTTTTTTATCCCCAGGTTAGAAAAGAAAGAACGGGATTATTCCAAATTCTATTATTAACAATGGCTTTTTAACATTTTAAAAAATGAGAATATTCCACAGAAACTAAAACAAAAATAACATTTTAATAGGGAATAGTATCAATTAATAAATTTCAGATACTCCAAAATGATCCAAAATTGTTTTATCTGCTATCAGAGTAACCAGATTGTATGTATGGAAATGAGGAATGTAATGAAAACACTGACTGGATTGCCAGCCGAATATAACTTATCAAGCAAGCATTCTTTACTGATGAATCATTGTTTCCTGACAAAAAATATCTATGATATAAATATGAGTGATAGGAAGTGCAGAAACAAGAACAACTCCCAAATGAATACTGGTATTAAAATACTAAATATACAAGGTTTAGCACCTTTGCAGATTAAATTACATACCAGTATATAAATCAGTTCTGGAACTAAAATCTTCCATACAATTAGTGAGAACAAATATACTGGAACAAAATATGATTCTCATGTTGAGCATTAATAGGTAGAATTAAACTTTGTGGATGGGCTAGCCTAGAATGTTTAGCTAAATGTTAGAAAATGATGTTTAAATTTCTGCATAGTCATAAATATTGCAGCAGTCTTGCATCTTACTGTCTATATTATTTCTGATTGTCGTCTATCTATCATCTATCTTGTAGCCTTAAAATGTATATATTGCATTATTTATAATAGGGTGTATAAGTATAAAATACATAAAAATAAATCTCATGGTTAAGGCATTAGGCTACAAACTGGGAGAAGGTGAGTTCTAGTGCCACCTTAGGAACAAAGCCAGCTGCGTGGCCAGTCACTTTGTCTGAGTTCTAGAAAATAGGCAATGGCAAACCACTTTTGAAAAGTGCAGGGATTTGTCCAGATAGTCTTTGAGAATCAGACATGATTGAATGGAAAAAACGTACATACATACAGTAGTGAAAAATAATAAATAAAAATATCTGAAACAAAAAATAGAGGAAAATCAATAGAATTATAAGAAGTAAACAAGTGACATTCAGTTTTAAATAAACATCTTTTCAGATGTTGGATACAGCAATATTAGAACAGACAACTTTTTAATGGTAGAGGGAGAATTTTGACAGATAAATCTCTGCTTTTGTAGGAAAAAGTAAGCATTCCCATTTCTACCTTAGCCTCTGATTTAATAGAAATGCCTGCCTAAAATCAGTTTTGAGGTAGGAGTACCTGAGGAATGCAAAAAAATCTGAACCACATTTTCCATATTGATTAAATTGGAATCATTGTGTATTTTCTAATGTTGTTTCTTTGAATTTCTGCATATTTTTACTGAATTCGATTGGTAGTCACAATTAATAAATGGGGTATTGGATAGAATAATCACTTGTATTATCACTTATGCTTTGGAAAAGCTGAATTTAGTCTGTTAAATACTGTGCAAAAAGGCCTGCAGAGCACCTGAGATGCTTCAAACTCCTTCAATAATTCAGTAATCTGTATAGTAAAAACCATTTCACAATGTTAGCTCTTGCATACTGTGGAGGGTGTGTGTATCCAACTAAACATTACTTCATTGTCATTACTAGTAAGCCAATGGTGCATTATTATAACACACACACACACACACACACACACACATACACACACCATTTTCCTGCTTGTCGGATACCTGCTGATCTAGTATCAGTAGAAGCAATGGATGGCTTTTTCAAGGGGGCTGATATTTACAGAGAAGGTTGGGCAGGGTGTTCTTGCTCTTTAAAATGTGTGCAAATGGAAATTATCTGATGTAATCCTAATCACTTTTCCCAGCCAGTGCTTCAAGAGCAGACAGACTGGCAATAAGTACATTGCTTAATCTGTTTGTTTTTGCTTGATAATGTCTGGAATACAAACTGAGATTTTTTAATGCAGTTTCACAGTAAGATACATAAATACTTCACTATACCTTTTATGCATTTCCAGCTAGCTGAATCAAGGTACATGAACGCTGTATACGGCAACTGTGCTTTTTGTTAATTTAACATTAAACGTTATTGTTTCTTAGCCAAGGCTTGAAATGATAGATCAATTTCTCAGGAAATATGAAATTAGTTAATACTTAAAAGTATTAATTAGTATACATTAATGGGAGAAAAAAATACATTCAAGCTTCACTAAACTAAGACTATCTTGATACTAAAACAAGTAAAGTATTCTGAGAATAACAGCAGCACTTGTTATAATTTGTATTATAATAATTTCACCCCAACCTCAATTTCTATCAGTATATATGTAGTTATATTTGGAACTTTATAAAAACACATTTGATATCAGTGTGTATTTTTATATGACTTTGTAATGTTTTCTCCCCTTCTTTCATATATTCTCCTTCCTCCTTTTGAGAAATGTAATTCAGAGAGCAATGAAGTTATTGTTGTAGGTACATGTTTAAAATAAATGTTTCTTGAACAGAACAGACTCTTCCCCTGCCTCCCCTTAATTTTAATGCAAATTTAATGGTTTTTGACATTGAGGAGTTTCTAAAGCAATCTGGGCTTGGATGAAAAGTTTGGAGTAATGACACACCATACCTTCTCCCCTATAGCTCCCTATATAGTCTCAGGCTAAAATATTCGGGGTTCATGGGGGACTGTCAGAGGCAGCCTGGGATATTTTATCAGAAGACAATGTTACACCAATGACTACCATGTTATAAATTATGCTAATGTGAGTTCCATATTTAACTCTACCTTTCAAATCCTGGACACTATCTTGGTGGAGAATTTGGTATAAGTCATTATGGAAAGGATGAACCACTTGTGTGAAGTGAAAAAAAAAAAAAGAACAAATTTGAATGCATTAAAATTCTATAGAGCTGTAATTATGGTCAAGGTTTTGGAATGGAATTGGATAACTTGGATATTTTTTATCTATCATGAGCTACTAGCTTTATTTAGTTCCTAACTGGATTAAACAGGAATTGCAAATGGTTGATGTAAAAGGTGAATGTGAAATTGAGGAAATAAGCAGTACATAACCATACAGTACTTTGCATTGTACTCTGAAGCTCATTTGCAAGTGTGATTTCTGCATAGAAATCAGTTTCAGAACAACTTTTACCATTTCTAAAAGGTGAAAAAGTTTTTTTAAGTACCATATATCAGAGCTAAGCTGTTTGAAATGAACCTCTGTGTTATGTGGGGATTAACATACTGTAAAAGAATATTCACTTATTACCAGGGATTTAAGGCGATTAAAACCATACTTTTTTTGTTATTAGGGACTGAATTTGGTGGGCAGAAGAGGGGCTGCTACAAGTTGGTGTTGATTCCTTGTGACTACCTGGAAAAATCCCTGGAGTTTTTTCTTTTGCTATTGTCTCCTTCTGAAATCAGAGAAAGTAATTGGCCCAAGGTTACCCACTTTTTTTTGCCTAAGAGGACACTAGAACTCATTGTCTTCTGGTTTCTAGCCTATGCCTTAACCACTGCACCAAACTGTCTCTCTGAGGGCTGCAAATACTCTGTAAATTAAAAAAAAAACATTTTAATAATGTAGAGCAGAATTTGCTTAGAAATTGTGGAAAATGTGCAAGTTGCTATGAATAAAATGCTTAGATTCAGCTAATAAAACCAGAGCCAAGAAACTAATTTAAAGCCAAAGGTCTTTCATCATCTCAATTGAAAAAAAAACAATTCTGGGACTCCCTCCGATTATTTATGCTTA